AGAAGTCCTCCATTTCATTTCAATAATTAAGGACTTCTCCTGCCTTTCCGTTGCTATGAAATTTGCCTCTATTGCCAAATAAAAATGCCCACTAAAGAGAAAAAGAATAATTCTAGGAGGCAGTAAGAGGTAGGGTTGCTGTTCTAGAGACAGCAGAAATTTCCCAGTTCCTGAAACAAATGAAACTGGGTGTATTCCGGGAAATACAACATCATCCTAGGTCACAAGGACACCTTGTAAAGGTGTCAGCAGATCGTTTTACAAATAATAAAATGGCTAAGTTGATGACATAGAAAACATATGTATTAAGAACAAAAGCCACGGACCCTCCTTTGCGCTGACACTAATTGGAGTGATGCTGTAAGTCATAAATAAGTTTCCTTTGAGAGCTTCCTAAATGCCAGGCCTTGTGCTAACTGCTTTAAATACGAGTGCATCCCAGTTTAACTCTACTATCGACCAGTGAGGAAGGCATTCAATCATCTTATATATTAGTAAACACTTTAAGGTTTACATAACATGCTGGTTCCAATGTCTGCAGACTGAGGCAGATAGTTTTAGGATCACAAAGTATACCAACTAGAATGGCTGTAAATATGTTTTTCCTCCTTTCATTACTAAAAATGGCGAATGAGTATAAATCACCAGGTAGTTAAAGAATTATAAAAAAGAAATTGCAAGGTATTAAATAATATAAGCAGAAAGTTATTAAACCTGAGGTACTGGAAGTTGTGGGTTTTGTACTGAGAGGTGGTGCCCCTAAAAAAAAAATAACAACAATGAGATTAATCACTTTGAAATTATTGCATTTTTATTTTTATTTTTATTTTTTTGCATTTTTAAATTTATAGGAATTATGAATTATATGAAAAAGAATTTAGATTCTTTTTTAGGTAGAAATTCCCATGCTTCAATTGACTCTGAAAAATGGTTGCTATACATTTTTACACATAAGAAACGCCAGAAATTGAGACACCTGTGTGATATACATAATGTGCTAAGACCCTATGAAAACAATACATTTGATGTCATACCTCTGTCATGAAAATGAATATGAGATGGAGTTAATTTAAAAAAACTGTTTCTTTTCAATTATTCCATATCATTGCTATTTAATGTCAAAGAAATAAAATCTAAACAAAAAAGACTAAAAGACCCCTTTGCACCTTTAATACATGTTGGGATCTTAGGCTTCCAAGTACTGTCGGCTCCACAGACAATAGTGCTATTGCCTTCAAGGTAAAATCCTGCAAGGCATTCGAATTTAACCTCTGCTTTGTACAGATATTTTTTCCCAAATCCGGACACCACTCTTCCATTCGGGACATTTGGATAGGTACATTTGACCACTGAAAAATGAAGAAATTCCAGAATTAATGGAAAGCTGTTTCAATAGGGGAAAGAAAAACTAGTGCAAATTAGTAACTTCCCCTGGGGACAAACAGGCAAGGAACGGAAGGCAGAATGTTAATTAAATAAAAAATACTTTATTTGTGTATTAAAATAAGTGTTTTAATTAATTAACTAATTATTTTTACAGAGGGGAGATGGGAAAGAGACATAGAAACATCCATGAGAGTGAAACATTGATCAGCTGCCTCTTGCACACCCACTACTGGGAATCAAGCTCAAAACCCAGGCATGTACCCAGACCCAGAATGGAACCATGACTTCCTGGTTTATAAGTCAATGCTCAGCCACTGAGCCACACAGCTAGGCCTATTTGTGCATTTTAATTTCAGGCAATCAGATATAGAGACATCTAACAATCTTTTCCCACCTAGAACAAACTGTCATTATAGATGATTGTTTTTCCCTTACTGACAAGTTTTGAGAAAGGTCTGATTACCACATACAATTTTTAGGAAAGTTTAAAAGCAACTTTTGATGCTCTTTAGCTCTAGGAATTAAAAAAAAAAAGTTTTTTTTTTTAATTTCGTGTTGACACTGAGTTAGTACCCTGACCTTTCAGAAAGGCAGGGAAGGCTCTTGTAATAAGGTAATATTTGAGCTCAAAGGTAAAAAGCTGAAAAGAAGCTAGCCATGCAAACATATGCAGAGAGAAAGTTATCAGGTATCAGCAACATGCAAGAACTGGGATGTGCAAGAGGTAGAAAGGCCAGTGAATTTAGGGCTGCGTTTTCCAAATATTTTGGACTGGAATGCAGAGATCAAACCCCACATTTTATATTGTAACCTCCCAGGTCTGAGATAAAGTTAAAACTTCATAGTTAGTCTTGGTACCCATGTACTCTGGTACTTCCCATTCTGTTCTTCTTCTTACAAAGTAAAGTGCTGGGCAGGACCCTCTAGATCAGTGGTTCTCAACCTGTGGGTCGCGGCCCCTTTGGGGGTCGAACGACCCTTTCACAGGGGTCGCCTAAGACCATCGGAAAACACATATATAATTGCATATTGTTTTTGTGATTAATCACTATGCATTAATTATGTTCAATTTGTAACAATGAAATGGGGGGTCACCACAACATGAGGAATCGCATTAAAGGGTCGCGGCATTAGGAAGGTTGAGAACCACGGCTCTTGATTGATTTCAGGATCCAGCCATGCATTTCACAGAAACTGGAAAATCAGCAACAAAACAAAACAAAACACTGGGCTGGGCAGTCCATACAAGAAAACACCTTCTGAGATTAAATCTGAGCGATGCATAGGGCCCATAATGCACCTTCACTCAGGTGTTATGTTTGAAGATATATTTTCATGAGTCATGAGGAGGGGGCGACTTGCTCCTTGCTAGGGGCCTTCCAGCCTAGAGTATAAATCCCCTGAACTCCCAGATATCAGGGCACTCGGTTTGGTGTCAGCCTGCTGAGTTGCCCGCTCAGGTTCTGAGTGTAGATCCTTTCTCTGCAAGTAAATTCTCCCCTGCTTTTGCTGCTATTTGTTGTCTCTTATTTGAATTCATTCCTGCGAGCAAGACCAGAGTGCTGTCTCTGGCCAGAGGCTATCTCAGGGCAGAGGTGACCTTGACCATCGCTGACAGTTTTGGTTCTATGTTCACAGTGGATACTGTTTTTCATTTTCCTACAATTTGTAAGCCTATTTCTACATTTTGTCTGGTTTTGGTATCGGGGTAATTCTGTCTTCATTGGATGAGGTGAGAAGTATTCCCTCCTGTTGTATTGACTTGGAGAGTTTGTGCAGAGCTGCTATTGTGAATACTTAAATGTTGGTACAAAGCTAGTGATGGCTGGGGCCTGCAGTTCTCTTTGTGAGGTTTAAGTGTCAAATTTCTTGGCATAAAGTTGTACATGTTATTCGCTTATTGTCGTTTAAATGTCTGCAGGATATTTAGTGATGTTCTCTTAAAAAAATTTTTTTTTTAAATTTTCACCCGAGGATATTTTTTAAATTGGTTTTTAAAGAGAGCGAAAGGGAAGGAGGAGGGGGAAGAGAGGGTTAGAGAAACATTGATGGGACAATGATGCATCTATTGGTTGCCTCCAGCAGGTGCCCCAACCAGGTGGGAGATCAAACCTGCAACCAAAGTATATGCCCTTGATCAGGAATTGAACCATAGACCCTTCAGCACTTGGGTTGATGCTCTAACCACTAAACCAAAGCAGTCAAGCCCTCTTTTCCATTCTTGATGTTGGTCATTTGTGTCGTCTACTTTTTTGTCAGACTGGTTATAGCTTTATTCATTGTATTGATCCTCCCCAAGAACAAGGTGTTGGTTTCAATAATTCTATATTTTTTCAATTTTGTTGATTTCTATCTTTATTATTTCTGTTTCCTTGTTCTGTATTCAACTTGCTCTTCCTTTTTAATTCCTTAAAGTGAAACCTTAGATTCTTGAGCTGAAACTTTTCTCTGGTTCCAGTATATGTATTTGCTATGAATATTCTTCTAAGCAATGCTTTTGCTATATTCCACAAACTTTGATATTTCAATATATTGTATTTTCATTTTCATTCAATTCAAAATACATTCTAATTTCCCTTGTGACTCCTTCTTTTATTCATGGTTAGTTAGAAATGTCTTCATAATTTTTAAATATTTAGGGATTTTACAGATATCTTTACTTCTCTTTCTACATTCATTCCATTGTAAAGATACTGTACTGTAAATAATTTCAATTTTTGAAATAAAAAAAAACTTTTAAACATATTGCCTAGTATATGGTACTAAGAAATGTTACATATGCATGTGAAAAGAAGACATATTTTACTGTGTTTCAGTGGTTAATTTTGTTCAAGTGTCAAATACCTCCCAGTGTGTCCTGCTTTTGGTCATGCTCAAATGCCTTAGGTCTTGTTTTTTAAGTATAGGTAAACCTCTGATATATTTCAGGTTTGTTTCAGACTACAGCAATAGGTGAGTATGGAAGTAAAGCAGGTTACAGTTGTTTTGCTGGTTCCAGTACTCAATTTGTAAATATGTGTGTGTGTGTGTGTGTGTGTGTGTGTGTGTGTGTGTGTGTGTGTGTGTGAAGTGCAATAAAGCAAAGCACAATTAAAAAAGATATGCCTGCATGTTTTGCCTGGACTTTATCAATCTTATTGGTGACAGGGTTAGTCTTTTACAATTTATTCTACCATTTAGTTGAGCCAGAACTGTCATACTTCTTGTATTATATGATAAAGCTTTTTTTTCAGTGAAGGTCAAGGGGGGAAAAAAAGGAGACATATGTACTATTCTTTGTAATACTTTAAGCAATAAAACAACATTTTAAAAAACTTTCTTGAAACTAGTGTTTTTTTTGATGCTTTTAAGCCAAAAAATTTAACTCATGCATATACATAGCTATTAACAATGTATAAACAGGAATGCCAAGAACATGGGGGTGAAGAGTGGGAAACGCTACAAGTAGAATTGTTTTTTATTCTATTTGATACATAAAATTAGATTAGAAACAAATTTAAAGCACATATGGCTGTTTTTGTTTTGTTTTTACTTGTTGGCCAAGGTATTTAAAAGTTGGTAAAAGTTTCCACAACATTTATAATTGAGAGGGAAAGAAATGAAAATATTATTACCTTTACACTCAGGAGGGTTACTACTCCATTTGTCGTGCCCAATACAAATAAGCTTCCTCTCTCCAACAAGTGAATATTCATCTGGTCCACCGGAAGGCTTACAACTGTAAGTTACTAGTTCATTATATTCAAATGTAGCCTTGTGGCTATTGGTGAATTCTCCATTTGGTATTTTTGGAGGTGGTTTACACAAAACCTCTTAAAAAGAGAAAAAGAGGACAGAAAAACACAATAAAAAGTAAAAGATTAAGACAGCATTATGCTTTCAATAAGTTCGCTAACATATGATTTCTACATCTATTTGCAAATTCAATATCCATTTGAAAAAAAGTTTCTATTAAAAAATGTTATTATATCCCAATTCCAGCCATCAATAGAGAAATGAAATTTTAGAATAAACCCCATTTTCTTAAGTACCCATAGAAGATACCTGTATGAAAGACTTGTGATATCTGTAACACCGTGCTAAGTTTTCCCAAGTATAAGAGACACTAACAATTTAATGAGAAAATAAACTTATGACTTAGGAAGACTCAGTGCTAGTTGAGAAATGCTACATCCATTCCTGAGTCAGTGGTTCTCAGGGATGCCACGATTTTGTCTTTTCTCACTGTCACCCTGAGAGCGGACAGTGACATTTTCCAATGGCCTGAGACTGTCTGATAAGCCGCAGGATGAATGTGGAGCTCTTCTTTAAGCCAGATACTGAAGGGATTAGAAAAAACGTAAAGCAATGACACCCTTCCCACTGTTTTGGAAATGTTTGATTTTAGGACAAAAATATGCAGCATTTGTTAACATATATTGAGATTATTGTTCTTAAAAATGAATTAACAAATAATTATTTAAACACTTCTCTGCTTTAATCTCAGTATAAAGAAGATCAATAGCACTAACCCACTTGCATAAAATCCCTGTGGGGTCTTAATTGTAAAGCATGATGGGGTCCCCAGGCCATAAAATTTGGGAACTGCTGCTGTAAATTCTAAAGAGAGAATGTACTTACTTTCACAACTTGGTAGATTATCACTCCATTCCACATTATTTCCAGCGAGTTCACAATATAGGGTTTTTGGTCCAATTAAGTAATAACTAAATGAGAAAAGATATGATAATTGTTTTCTTTATCACTTAACAGGAACACATAATAACGAAGAAGTTTTTATATGATTTTTTTCTGCACTATAGTAGCTTCAGGGAGAAGTTTCTGAAGTTACAGGTATTGAATGTGCTAACTAAATCTAAAGTTTAATGAAATGGAGAGATTCTTCATATGAGCACACATTAGCCTAGAGCAGTGGATCTCAACCTTCTGGCCCTTTAAATATAGATCTTCATGTTGTGACCCAACCATAAAATTATTTTCATTGCTACTTCATAACTGTAATGTTGCTACTGTTATGAATCGTAATGTAAATATCTGATATGCAGGATGGTCTTAGGCGACCCCTGTGAAAGGGTCGTTCGACCGCCAAAGGGGTCGCGGCCCACAGGTTGAGAACTGCTGGCCTAGAGCAAAGTGTCTAAATAAACCTGTCTTGCCTGATAACTGTAGCGAGAAATACACATTTCTATGCGACAGGCATTTCTTCAGTAGTAGTTGGAGACTTCAATATCCTACTCACAACAACTAGACTGAATATAAGACTGAAAATAGAGGACTTCCAGAACACAATTAATTAGATCTTACAGACAGAGCACCACAGAACAAAATACACATTCTCCTAAGTGCACATGGGACATCTTCCAGGATAGACCATATGATGAGCCACAAATTAATATTAACTAATCAATAGGTTTTTACAAGACTAGATAACATACAATGCCTCTTCTCTGACAACAACGGCACAAAGTTGTGAAACAAAACCTTCGCAGACTGAAGTTTTCCTGAAGGAACAGGTTTACTGACTAGCCATGTAAAAAGAACCAGGTCCGGGGCATGCTGTCTAAACCAGCAGCAGCAGGGAGAGAAGGCAAGCATTTCCGCCATCCTGGTTTAATGGGGTTCTTTTACAGCTTTGAGTAGAAAGATGTAAGTTATTTTGAAGGAATTCACATTGGCTATAGATAAGGGGGCAGAAGAAGGGTAAGTGGGGCTAGTTCTGGGATAGGTGCATAGATGGGAGGAAGAAGTGTTTGCTGCTTTTGGACTATTTTCTGGAAAGTCAGAAAAGTTCCTGTGGAAGCAGGATGTGGTGAAGTCTGGTGTTCAGCTAGCCCTTATTGAAAAACAGCTACACTACTACCTCTTATATTAACATGAATCTGAAGTACCTCTGGAAGTTCATTCAAAGTTTCAACACACATTTCATTAGTTCCTTCCATTTCTTCTTCTTATTATTATTTTAAAAATTAAATCTTTATTGTTCAGATTATTACAGTTGTTCCTCTTTTTTCCCCCCATAGCTCCCTTCCAGCCGGTTCCCACCCCACCTTCTGCCCTTACCCCACTACCCACTGTCCTCATCCATAGGTGTACGATTTTTGTCCAGTCTCTTCCCGAACCCCCCCCCCACACACACACCCCTTTCCCCCTGAGAATTGTCAGTCCACTTCCTTTCTATGCCCCTGATTCTATTATTCACCAGTTTATTCTGTTCATCAGATTATTTATTCACTTGATTTTTAGATTCACTTGTTGATAGATGTGTATTTGTTGTTCAGAATTTTTATCTTTACCTTTTTCTTCTTCTTCCTCTTCTTAAATGATACCTTTCAGCATTTCATATAATACTGGTTTGGTGGTGATGAACTCCTTTAGCTTTTTCTTATCTGTGAAGCTCTTTATCTGACCTTCAATTCTGAATGATAGCTTTGCTGGATAAAGTAATCTTGGTTGTAGGTTCTTGCTATTCATCACTTTGAATATTTCTTGCCACTCCCTTCTGGCCTGCAAAGTTTCTGTTGAGAAATCAGCTGACAGTCGTATGGGTACTCCCTTATAGGTAACTGACTTTTTTTCTCTTGCTGCTTTTAAGATTCTCTCTTTGTCTTTTGCTCTTGGCATTTTAATTATGATGTGTCTTGGTGTGGTCCTCTTTGGATTCCTTTTGTTTGGGGTTCTCTGCACTTCCTGGACTTGGAAGTCTATTTCTTTCACCAGGTAGGGGAAGTTTTCTGTCATTATTTCTTCAAATAGGTTTTCAATATCTTGCTCTCTCTCTTCTTCTGGCACCCCTATAATTCGGATGTTGGTACGCTTGAAGCTGTCCCAGAGGCTCCTTACACTATCTTCGTATTTTTGGATTCTTTTTTCATTTTGCTTTTCCGGTTGGGTGTTTTTTGCTTCTTCGTATTTCAAATCTTTGACTTGATTCTTGCGCTCCTCTGGTCTGCTATTGGGTGTAATATTCTTTATTTCAGACCATGTATGCTTAATTTCTAGTTGTTTCTTTATCATAGCATCGAGGGTCTCATTAGTTTTCGTGAGGCTCTCCAAAAGTTTATTGCAAGCCCTCAAAATTGCGTTTTTTAGCTCTATATCCTCCATTTCTGTCATGTTTTTTTGTCTCCGCATTTTTTATGCTTTCTTGGTGCACCCCCTAGTGGTCTTTGTGCGCAGTCTTGTTCTAGTTGAGCCTTGATTGTTGTAGTTAATACTAGAGGGATTTGACCACCAGGCCGACTGGCTGTGTGAATCAGCTGTGTCTGCCGCGGAAAACTTCTGTCCTCTGGGGAGGTGCTAATCTAGCCTTTGCCTGAGGCGATCTGGCAAATGGCTCTGCGCAGGGCTTGGGCGGGGCGGGCTCAACAGGGCGGGCGGAGGGAGCGGTAATGGCCCCTCTCAGTCCCGTTCCCAGAGGCTCTGCTTCTCAGAACCCCAGGAACCGCTGCAAACCACGGAGAGAAAGCTGCCTTCCAACTGATGCCAGACACTCCCGCTTCTCCCGTTTGGGTCCGAGTCCCCAGCGATTCGCCCGTATCTGGAGCTCAGAGTCTGAGACTCCCCCCTGACCGAAAACGACAACCGCGCTCTCAGCCACCAGCCCGCTTTGCGCGCGCACCTCCGCACCTGAGTATTTTCCACACTGCGCCTCCTCTGAGCCTCGGTGTGCTGTTATTTTTCCTTCTAGTTGAAGAGTCTCTCCTCAGCCAGCCTTCCTGTGGTTCTGGGTGATGTCCGTTCCGTCTTTTAGTTGTATTTTTGAAGTGGTTGTTTGCGGCAGCAGTCTCCGGTGTTTACCTATGCCGCCATCTTAGATAATTCCATGAATTATTTTAATTGCAACAATGATCAGGATCATTTATTGGCGGGAGGCATTCCTAAGGAGTGCGGAGGACAGGGAGTAAAATGAAAGCTTGTCTGCATAGTATCTCCATAAAATGGTCAAGCTTTCATTACCAGGGATGTTATACCTGTGACCCTGGGAGAGAGGCAGTGGTGGGCCTAGTGGGGCCGCTACTTGGTCTGGAACATTTATAGGGCCAATCACAGCTTGCAAGAGGATTGTGGCCAACATCATCAGATGCCTCCTCACCCTCAGCCCCCACTTCCTCTTTCTATGGAGTCTGTGAAATCTGAGTTCCATGTCAATATCTAAAGAGCATTGAGGAGAACAGGCAGAAGACACCACACATTCACCATATGGTTATTGAAATGTGGTTTGCAGCTGTGTATGTCGCCTTTCCACATTTTCTTTTCCCGGGGTGTTCAGGAAATACTTTTGAGCAAAGGAATAAACTTAGTTCTGCATTTTCTTCCCTGCTGTTTCTGAAATAGCTCTAGTTGAAGTTCATGATGAGGCTCCCAGAGGAGAAATATTTTCCTCAAAGATGACACCAGGACATTAGGGCACAGGGACGTGTG